GTGTTACTAGGTTAAAATAACTATTTTATTTTGTTATTGCTAATAGAGGGAGACTCATTCACCGGATGAACAAGGTTTGGAACAAGATATTGAAACTGCATTTACTAATACACCCAAAATTTGATATTTTATTTAATAAAATAAAGTAAAAAACGCTTATTGATTTTTTAATCGTTATTCTTATGTGAAAAGCCATCTTATAATAAAAAATTATGCCGGTTTTTATTTATTTCGCTATCCTCCCTCAACTTTTTACAATGCGACAAATATCTAAGTGTTATTATTATTTTTTTAAATTTATTAAACAATTATTTTAATTTCCTTAAAATACTGTCGGTCGATCGGCACGCCACTGGAAATTGATCTCAACCGTCTAATCTTTGTAAACAACTACATTGTTGCCGTTGCGCCGATACCCTATTCCCTTCTTTGTCCATTCTCTCTCGCACTCGTTGATTTTCGCAAACCAATGTGTGATGAAGGTTTAGAGCGTTTTATGAATGGATCGTTGTATCTCCCGAGTTTAAATATCTTTGGGATTAACCATTTTAGAATAGATTATGATTATATTAGTCGAACCTTTTTTAGCTTTAAAATATGTCGCATTTATAATGACTTTTACCCTCGAAATTTCATTCGAAACGCTAAAAGTACTGGGAAGAAAATTATAATAAATCGAAAAAATATTCAGACAGCCCTGTAGCTACGTATTTAACACCCTATAGCCACGAAACAAAGCGGAATCGGACCTATGCTGATATGAAAAATTAATCTTATTTTTATGTGAGGAATCTCTCCACGAGAGATGGCACATGTTTTTTAAACACCCTGTGTAAAAATATCCGATGACATTGTAATCAACTTTCTATTAAAAAGTATTACCTGCTTTTTATAATATAAAATAACCCTTCCCTATATGCGCTTTTCCATCAGAATCGCATTAAGTGGTTATCTCAAGCTGAAAATACACCAGCAAGTTTTACGTTCAGGAATAATCTGTCTAAAAACGATGCGGATGATGACAAACATCCGGCTGTTAGAACTCCACAGGGAATTTTATCTCAATACGTGTTGTTTTGTATTTCTCTACAAAATTCTCTATAGGATGATAAAACAAATTTCTTTAAAATAATGCATGCAGCCGATATGAATAGTAATGAAAAAATAAAAGGGGGAAATCTTAAAAGAAAATTGATGGTTATTAAGAAAATTACAATTTGGATTTCTGGTAATTTGTTTAATTGTAGAATAATTAGTGATGCAAAATTACCTGTAATTTATAAATCGGTAATATTACGCAATATTACGGTAACACTTGTAAGAACTCTATTTTTCTATGCTACGTTTTCTTTATCTGACGTAATAAAAAACAGACATTTCAAAAGCCGGAGCGCAATGGAATTTTGAATGTAAACAAAAACAAGCCCAAAATTCATGCTACCTGCACTTTTCAAAAAGGTTTCAGATAACATTCAATACAGTATCGCCGTCTAAAACAGTATTAGACAGCGTCAGAGAAAGAAGTGGTACGCGCTTGTTAAATTAAAACTATTAAAGTTTCTGAGGTTTAATTAAGGTTTTGTGGTAGTTCTGAGTTCCATTGCCGTGCCGAATAAGAAGTTTAGTTAAGGTGAGTTTATTTTATCTCACTGAGCAACTAGTTGGTTACTGTTTATTGTTTTTATTGAGATATATTATATTTCCGAATCTCAGATAAATTTTAAGATAGATAGTAGTATAAATTTTAAGAATATAAGTAGATATTTGATTGAATATAAAGAAAAGATAATTTGCAGATGATAATATTGAAGTATTTCTTTATAGTGAGTTATTTATAATTTCTCTATGTGACTTTTAACAGAAGATAAGAATATATTTGTGTATTAATATTATCAAATTAATCTTGATTGAATATTAAGAAAATACGATTTGCAGATGATAATATTGAAGTATTTCTTTACAGTGATTTATTTATATTTTGTCTAAGTGACTTTAATAGAAGATAAGAATATATTTCTGTATTTGTATTATCAAATTGATCTTGAATGAATTATGTTTAGCTTTATTATTTTCTACAGTTAGCCTTTGGGGCGTAGTGACCCTGTGTAGCGTAGTTAGACTTGAAGAGTAGTTCGTCCTGTAGCGTAATTAGCCTTGACAAGTAGTTAGTCCCGTAGCGTAATTAGACTTGAAGAGTAGTTACCCCGTAGTGTAGTTTGACTATTAACTTGTGTATTTTTTTAGCCTGTGTGGCACTTTGATAGCCTGTGTGGCATTTTTTAGCCTGTGTGGCACTTTGATAGCCTGTGTGGCATTTTTTTAGCCTGTGTGGCACTTTGATAGCCTGTGTGGCATTTTTTTAGCCTATGTGGCACTTTGATAGCCTGTGTGGCATTTTTTTAGCCGGTGTGGCGCTTTGATAGCCTGTGTGGCATTTTTTTAGCCAGTGTGGCACTTTGATAGCCTGTGTGGCATTTTTTTAGCCTGTGTGGCATTTTGATAGCCTGTGTGGCATGTTTTTTTTAATAGTCTCTGTGACTAGCCTGTGTGGCATTTTATTATTTTATTTAAACTTGTATTTTTAAGTTGGACTATTGATAAATCATTCAAGTACCTGTTTAATTTTAAATTCACTTTATTTTAATAATAACTGGTAACATTGTTGCTCACACCATGTTTTTTTCTTTAATTGCAGGTAGGTCATCTCGGTAGCCATACAAGACTTTTGTTGCTATACAACATTTGTCCATTTGCAGCGCCTAGATCAAAGTTGGCTATTACCATTAGTAACGTACCATCTATTAGTATTATTTTTATTTTATATTATTAGTTGTATTTTACTTTTTTACAACATGTACGCCCTTTAAATTTGTTTTATGGTTTTTATTTTTAATTTGAGTTGACCGCTTGAAAAAAAAATTGGCCCGTACACACTGGTAGTTTACAAACAATACAGCTCTGTAAATAATATTATTTTTTTTATTTCAAAACTGTAAAAATTTTACAAAAAAAAAGACAAGAAAATTTTTAAGCTAGTCAGAGTCAGAGTGGCCTATGTTATAGTACGTAATAGAATGAATAATAGTAAATTATTCTCAATCTTATCATATGGTTTTTCTTTCTTTTTCGTTGTTTGAGCCAAGTCTATTACTTCGAAATTGATATCTTCTTTTTCCATTTCTTTCTCAGCAGCCTCTACCGTTCTTGGATGTTCTTCTCTGTTTAGTAAATTATAATTATTGGAAATATAAGTAAGTTTTCCGGCCCTTTCCACGGGATTTTTGTTTTTCTTGGCCGATGGAGAAATCCGTAAGTATCTACTAAGGATCTTTTCGGCTGCGGCTGTTGACGATGGTTAATTTAAATTGTCTATAGCCAATATACTTATTTTAGAGCTGGAGCAAATTCTTGCCCACCAGACAATAATTTTCTAGTGTGTGTATATACAAGGTTGTTCACCACATACGACCCGGAGTATTGTAGCTAAACTATTAGATTTTTACAAATTGTAAGTTTTGGGTTCATTGAAGGACTATTAGAGCTACAATTTAAAAATATTTTTACAAGATATGCTCCCAAATAGCTCCCAACAAGATATGTCCCAAATAAGTTAAAAATATTATAGTTGTATTTTTTAAATGGAACACCCTGTATATTATTCTATTTTTAGATTCTACGATTGAAATAAAGGTAAATTTGATTAAGGTTTATCACACTTAAACCTTACCGTTTTTGAAATATTTTCAATTTTATGAAATTGCAGTAAAAATGTTAAGGCTTCATTTCTCGAAGGGTATCAAAGTTTTTAATACTAAATCTTTACTGAAGATTATTTATTGATCAGATATTGTGTTGCAATAATAAAAATTTTGCTACCTTATACAGAGTGTCCAAAAATTTCTATTAAATAATTACTAGCTTTAAACGCCAATAACTTGTTTAATTTAAATGAAACACCCTATATATTTTACGTGAATCAGATGCACAATGTAATTGTCACTATACCCATGAAATATTGATATTTTAGATTATTTTTAAAGATGTAACAAATTTTCAAAGAGTACAGATACTACTATTGTCGATATAGTTCGCTTATTTCATTAAAAAATATAAAAAAAACTGTTTAAATATTGTTTGTTAAAAAGGACCAATTAATATGATCCCAGTATTCAAACTACATTAATTGACTGTTTACGTTGATTAATAATAATTGCTCCAAATACTAAAAAACTGAATACTAGTAACAGTTTATAAATTTTATTTCATTTTTTGACGAATGCTTGTTTATAAAAACAGAGACGTTTATTTTCATAACTTATTATTATATTGATTTCTGAGCCAAATTCACATTTATTTAGAATACTTTATTGATTAAAACAATTTAAAAGTATGTAATTCACTAATTTTTGGTCGGAAATAATGGTGGTAGGTATATTTAATTGGTATACTCTTTCACAAAGATTTAAATAGTTTTTTTTGTATACCAATGGCCGTGTAATACATTTTGTACATATATGTGGCTTTAAAAAAATCTGAAATGTCAATATTCCATTGGTATAGTGATAAATGAAGTCTAAATTATAAGAAAATGCATTTTCTACAAAAACTTGAAGAGATGGGTAAAAAATGGTATAATACAATTTGATAGACAATTACATTGTGCATCTGATTCGCGTAAAATATATAGGGTGTTCCATTTAAATTAAACAAGTTATTGCCGTTTAAAGCTAGTAATTATTTAATATAAATTTTTGGACACTCTGTATAAGGTGGTAAAATTTTTATTATTGCAACACAATATCTGATCAATAAATAATCTTCAGTAAATATTTAGTATTAAAAACTTTGATACCTTTGGAGAAATGAAGCCTTAACATTTTTACTGCAATTTCATAAAATTGAAAATATTTCAAAAACGGTAAGGTTTAAGTGTGATAAACCTTAATCAAATTTACCTTTATTTCAATCGTAGAATCCAAAAATAGAATAATATTGTCAAGACTTAAATATAGGCCAACTTGGGTTTACATCAAATTGGGAAAAATCATGTAAAATATAATTCTAGTAAACCAATTTGATGTAGATTCAAGGGAATCGTTCGCGTATACGTCGACCTGAATATGTTCTTATAATAAACATTGTTAATTAAACAATTAAAATCAGGTCGATGTAAGCGTGATGTTTCAGGGCTAGCTCGTACTAAATATCGGTGCTGGAAATATACAAAGGAGATTTTTGAGCACGTACCCGCCGATAATTGGGACGAGCGGAAAAATATAAAATGGTGTGCTGAGGACAGGGGTAGTAAGTCAGTCCATCGATGTGAGTCGTATTATACAGTCAGTAATTCGCGTTATCAGTCCGTTAGTAGAAGACAGCGCAGACTGAAGATGTTCCTGTAAGTACTTAGTTAACTAAACCATTAAGTCTTGGCATTCCCCAAAATTGTATTATACTGTGAACTTAATATTAAATAAATGCACATTTTGTTCAATGGTTGTTTTGATTGAGAGAGAGAACCTGGTATAGCGACCCTAGCAAACAACCCCCAGCTAGGTCGCGACAATATACAGGGTGTCTCCATTAAAAAAAACGAAGAAAAATTATTTTGTATTTTAGGAAGTTTGGCGTAGAATTTTGAGCATCCTGTATGATTTACGATTACCATATTTATAACAAAATAAGTAAAGCTTCTAAAGTAAATACCTAATGTAGTTTTGATTTCAAGACAGTTTTTGTATTTTATTCCAATCATAATATTACTAGTAGATACAGTGGTTTTAATTGTGGTCAAACGCGGTCAAACTCAAACCAACTTCTATGCCTATCTTCTCATTAGGCCAATAATTAACAGATTCAGCGTTAACAACACCAAAAAAGTACGCCGCTTGCTGATAGCTATACATAAAAGACGCTTCGTTAAGCCAAACTAGTCCTATTTAATGCCCCTTGTAATTGCTACTCATTTATTTACAGTTCCATCTGACCCTGGTACGCTGTAACCCTTCCGTGTTAATTGTTGCCGGTAACATGACTCGTGACATTAATTTTTCAGCGGCTCGCTGTAACGCGATACGTCCCTATCCTTCTCGATCAATTTCGCACAACAGAATAATTACATTCGGACAAAACCTTAATTATAAAACTGAATTAATCGAGACAATCACTGACAACAATCGAGACAAAGCTCTGATAATAGTCAGTCACAACACATACATACCATACAGAAATAAAAAACAATTATGTGTGCACTATGTGCGCATGTGTTATTATTTGTATAATGTTTTGTATTATCTTTTGTTTGTTTGTTTGTGTACCTTGTTTTTTTACTTTTTTTGTTAGTTTACCTTTGTCTACAAATTTAAAAAAAAATTTTGACAATAAAGGCATTTATTTATTTATTTATTTATTCATATTTGAAGTGAAACTTCTTACTAACAGCTATTAAATTGAAGGATTTGAAGGACATGTTCGAAAAAGTAATAAATTAAATACCGTAAAATGGGGTGAATAGGGACTGGAGGGTGAATAGGGACGAAATTAGAAAATTTCTTTGAAAAGGAAATGCACTTTTTCAGTAATGACTAATGGAATCTGCGCATGTCGAAATATTTACTAGAGTACTAATTGGTTCTATTGGCAATACTGGTTTTAGTGTCAAAATTCACATGTCATCTGTCAATAGTTACAAAACAGCTGATCAAAAGTGTCAAGTTATAAGTCCTAAAAAACTTCATGTGGTTCTCCTAGAAAAAGTAAGTGAATATTATTCATATTTGGGAGTTAGTTAGCGAATTTGTCCTTAAATGAAATTGGGGAGTTTTCTAGATGACATTTTTTTACCTAAACACTGCATATTTTTGTGTATAGGGGAGAATAGGGACAACATGCCAAGAACATATAAAAGGCTTTTCGGCAAAGGTTATAAGCACCACACTAAGGAAAATATCTTACAAGCTTTAGAAGAAATCCGAAACAGTACTTTGAGTTTCCGTAAGGCGGCTCAAAAGTACGGGGTACCAAAGTCGGTTCTATTTCGCCATGCAAATGGCGAAGTGAAGAAACAAGGCGGACAAACGGTACTGTCAGCCCAGGAAGAGTGCATGTTCATTGAAAGAATTAACATCTGCTCAGAATGGGGATATCCCATTGATTGCTACGATTTGCGTCTAATCGTTAAGAATTATCTAGATAAATTGGGGAGGAATGAACCAAGATTTAAAAACAATTTACCCGGGAAGGATTTTGTTTACAGTTTTTTAAAAAGAAATAAAAAAAAATTTCGCTAAGATTTTGCGAAAAAATAAAACGCTCTAGAGCAAATGTTTCGAGAGAAGTTATAAATTATCATTTTGATAACCTAGAGCAATGCCTGCAAGGCATTCCTCCATGTAACATCGTAAATTACGATGAAACGAATTTATGTGACGACGTAGGTACCTTTTGCCGTTTTTGATGGTGTTTAAACAGTATAACAAAAATGATTTTTTTCTTGTAGGAAAAACAACAAGCAAACATCCAGAGAGAATAATGAACACAACAAAATCTAGCACATCGATAATGTTTGCAGCTTCGGGAGATGGTAAACTCTTACCCGCATATGTTGTATATAAAGCGCAACATATTTACTCATCTTAGGGAATAGGAGGACCGCGTGGAAGTAGGTACAACCGTACTCGATCGGGTTGGTTTGATAGAAATACGTTCGAAGACTGGGTCAACACTGTAGCTTTACCATATTTAAACAAACTGGAAGGAAGAAAAGTTTTATTGGGCGATAATTTAGCATCTCACATTTCAGTAGATGTAATAAAAAAACTGAAAGAAAATAATATTGATATGATTTTCCTCCCTCCCAATTCGACGCATTTAGCACAACCCCTAGATTTGTCTTTTTTCAGACCATTAAAAATAGCATGGAGAGAAATTTTATTGAAATGGAAAAAGGGGGAATGGAGGAAGGAGTCTTCTATACCGAAGTCCAAGAAAAATATTTTATCTGGATTCAAAAAAGGTGGCAATGTACCCCTTAATAGGCAAGAAGTATTAAGATGTTTACCGGAGGAGCCTATTGAAGTTGAAGATGTGGAGATCGAAGCAGCAAATAATTCTATATTAGATCTATTGAAGGAGTTGCGCTACACGCCTGGAAAGAGAATCCAGTTTGATTCGGAATCAGACTCAGCTTCAAGTAATATTTACAATGCCGAAACAGCTAATAATATCGAATATGATGAGCATGAAAGTGATCAGAGTATGGACTTTGAGGAACCTGAAGATACTTCACCATCACTATCACCATCACCATCACCATCCTGTAATAAATATAGTGATATGCTATCTCAAACTGATATTAATGTAGGAGACTGGGTTTTAGTTAAATTTCCAGTAGATAAGAAAATGCAAATATTAAGCAAAGGGTTTATATAGGAAAAGTTACCCAAAAAGATGGTCCATCCATTTTGAGGGAACATTTTTGCGAAAAAGACCCTCTGCAAGAGAAAAACTGGGAAACATATACGTTTTTCCAAATATTGAAGACAGAAGTGACTTTACTTCACACCAAATAATTAAAAAACTAAACAAATGGTCAGAACGCAGAGGAATATTTAACTTTGAAAATATTGACACCCAAAAATTTGAGAAACTTTAAATTGATACGGACATATTACCTAATACCTAGTACATAACAGAAAATAAGTATATATTTTTATTTGTCCTATAATTGTTTAAGTGTATTTCGGTATATTTTCTATATTTGTATGATTTATATGATGTCATAGACACAATGGTAACAATACACAATATATACAACTTAAATTCCATACATACGAGGCGTTTCGGAAAAAATAAGAACGATAGAAAAACAATATAACATACGAACATCTTTCAAAACACAAAATACACTTAGATCCATTTTATCACATACTAAACCAATAAATACAGAACAACAAACAAAAAATTTAATATACCAAATACCCTGTTAATGCGATAAATTTTACATTGGTGAAACATCTAGACCCTTAAATGTTAGAATTAAAGAACATAAAGATTATTTAAGAAAGGGAGATTTTCACAAATCTAAGATTTGTCAACATTCTTGGGACACAGGGCACAGAATAAATTTTAATAACGCCAAAATTATAATGAAAGAAGCAATAGCCTCTAAAAGAAAAATAAAAGAGGATTTTTTAATTCAATCTAATAAAAATAAATCTATTGCTCATGCATCTGTAGATGTTAGTAATGTATGGCAATCGCTTCTTTGATTTTAAAGAACAATAGATACAAGATAAATAAACATAACATACGTAAAATTTAAAAATAATCATACAGAAAGTTTGGGGCTTTTTGGTTTTACCTTATTGAGTAATTGTTATCAGGTAGTAATTGTTAATTTTGAAGTTTAAATATCAAGTTAAAAATGTCATTTTAACAGAACGTCAACGGTTTCTTGGACGTATCTGTTTTAAAAAAGTAAAGTGTTCTCGAATAGTTGAATTTAAATATTTTAAATAGTTTTTTTTCTTTATTCTTTGTATTTTTTTGCTTCCGACGACGGAAAGAGATAACTTTCCGAAACGTTAAGCATTTTTTTGCTTTGTTAGACAAATTTGTATTACCGTAAACATAACTTCTGACAAGCAGCGTCCGTTTAGCTTTAACGCAGAAGTGTATACAAAAAATAATTATTTTATTTTGTAGATTTTCTTGCAGCAGTGGCGAAACACCCATACAGGATTTTTTTGGAAAGATGAATCCGCCACATAGGTATAGACATTTTTTATATGCATTAGTGTTAAGTTGATATTTGCTATTAGTTATAAACAATTAGTTATGATTTAGTTCTTCATTTTCCAAAAATCAAAATTCCAAAATCCCATATAATTTACATGCAATGTGGTAACGTAGAAAAATGAAAAAAAGTGTCACTTTGCACATTGCTATCAATTCGCGAACCTTGTCATTTTTTGACGTTTGTAGAAAAAATATAGTTTTTGCGCGTAAAAATTGTTTTTTTTTGGTGTAAAGGCGCATTATTACGACTCGTGTACTTGGCAAGTATTTTTTATTGGCCTACAGGATCTGGCGGGAGTGCGGCGTAGCTCCTATAATAAATAACTTAGAAATTCTGTATAGATACCAGACGCACCGTGTATACCCTGTATACCAATTACAAATGTTTGTCAAGTACACGAATCGTGAGAATGCGCCATAACAAATAGTTTTTACGATTCAGCAAGAACAGTTAAAATCTTCAAGCTAAAAAAGAATTTCGAATTTATAGCGATGAAACACGAGATATCTAGGAATTTTCCCGAGACTATATCTGTCAGAAAAGTTAATCATTATTTTACTTCTCAAAATAAAATAGAAAGTAGAATCATGGGAAATAGAGACGGAAAAGAGTTATTCTACTTGTTAGGTCCAGATTCAGCGTTAATTATGAGAGACGAGGATAATACGAAATAGAATTATCCAGGGTCCCGTTTAGTTTCGGCAAGTTATTTTAGCAAGTTAGAAGACATTACGCGCTCGAACAAATACCTTTCAGAATATTAGCGGATTCAAAAAGGCGGAAATATTATGAAATGAGTAAAGTTTGAGCTATCGATAGAACTGTGCAATTATTTATTTCATAGCTTTATAGCTAAAATATTTCCAATTTAAATGTCCCCTGGGAAATAAAATTAAATACAGGAGTTACAACTTTAATGGCGACTGGTACAACTAACCGAAAAATTTTCCAGTTATCCAACCGCTAGTTATACCGTGCTGGCAACTGTTAGTTTTGGGTCGGTAGTTACATGTGTGGAAGTAAATTGCATAGGGATCTTATTAAGTCGGAGTGAGAGAAATGCGACGGTGTGCTGTTGCGGCGTTGCCGGTACACCTTTCCCTATCTAGTAAAGTAAAATCACGATCACAAACCGCTTATTTTTAAACTTTTTTTCGAAAAGATAACTAGACGAAATCATTAGATATGTTTCTGAGCATCTAAAATCGAATTATAAGGATATCGTTAAGGTGTCCATTTTTTTACAACGAGAAAACGTCAGTAATCGCGATAATTTAAAAACTTAACACGCCATAACTTAAGAACCACTTTAGATATTGAAACTGTTTTTTTTATTTTGAAGATCGGATCTTTTACAATATGATTAATAACTATACGCGGTGTAGCTAATTTAGTTGGTTGCTTTTATAATAATATACAGAGTGTAACTTAAATTATAAAAACAATCTTAAACCCCAGCGCCACATCAAGGCATAGCTACATTACTGGGAACACATTCACACAACCTTTCACTCCAAACAAATTACTATGAGTACTACGAGCACAAATCTAAAAATTAATCCAGACGGCTCTTTAGGTACGAATACTAAATCTAGGTGGTTCATTATTTTGCCTAAAATTAGTATATAGGCAGCACCAACACAAATCTAAAGTTTCGACTCTTTAATTTACCTAAAATATACACTCATAGTGTTTAACTAATAATTTGTTTTTAATTATACACATGCACACACTCCTTCATAGACATACGTTATGTTAGTAAAAAAATAATTCTTTTCATGAAATTTATGGTTTAAAAATGCGGCAATGGTAAATAATCTAAAATATATGTATCCTTATTAATGTTTTACCACAAAAAATGGACGGAGCTTTATTATAAAAGAGGACGGTTTCTCATAAACATTTATTATTTTAGTAAAAATGCCTGCACCACCATCAGGTAAGTTTTTAACATTTAGTTTTATCTAAAGATTTACTTTATTTTTAATTTTTATATATATTTTTAAAAGGGACCTAACATTAAAAAGGACCTAAAGATTTACTTTATTTTTAACATTTACTTTTTAATTTATTTTTTAAAAAGGACCTAAAGATTTACTTTATTTTTAATTTTTAATATATTTTCTATGTTTAATTCTTTTCCAATGTATTTTAAAGGACCTACAGATTTACTTTATTTTTTATTTTTATATATTTTTAAAAGGAACCGAACATGACTACAAAACTACCCATTACCGATTATCGAAGACCTGACAGATAGGCTGGCTGGCCAAAAGTATTTTACGATTTTGAATTGTCGGTCGGGGTATCACCAGATCAAGCTATCCGAAGAGTCAATCCCCATAACGGATTTCATTACTCCTGATGGAAAGTATGAGTATGTAAAGGTGCCGTTTGGGCTAACCAACGCCCCATATGTTTTCCAACGTGCTATGGACACTATTCTTGGGGATTTGAGATTCAACAAAGTCTTAGTCTATTTGGACAACATTTTGGTTCCATCAAAGACCATTGAAGCAGGACTGGAAACACTTAAAATTGTACTTACTCGTCTGGAAGAATATGGTGTCAGTTAACTTAACCTAGAAAAATGTCACTTTCTTACTGACGAAATTGAATACCTAGGCTATATTATCAGAAACGGATAAATTCAACCGAGTTCAACCAAATTGGAAGCAATCAAAAATTTTCCTGTCCCGAAAAACATTCATCAAATTCGTCAGTTTTTCGGTTTGATTGGACATTTTAGAAAATGTGTGCCACGTTTTGCGCAAAAATCTAAACCTTTGAGTAAATTATTGAAGAAAGCAAAAAAAAGGGAATGGACAGATGAACAACAAAGATCCTACGACTGCCTGAAAGAATTTATGACTATTCCTCCCATCTTAACCATCTTTGATAGTCAAAAACAAACCATCTTGTATACAGATGCAAGTCGAATAGGAATAGCTGAAATTTGAATATAAACACAATATAAAAATATATTTTTTTTGAAATTATGAGGAAATTATGAGTACTTCAAACATACTTTCAGAGTCCTTATCCTTCCGTACGTACAGTCAGGTACAGCTATGGTATGGGAATTAAAAATCACCTCTGGATTGGGGATGGAAAAATTCAAAGAACGGGTTGATGCCCATTGCTACTTCCCAAGATGCAGCTCCCCAAGAATTATTAAATCTGATTTCATGTAAATGTGCCAAAGGTTGTAATACATCTTGTAGTTGCCGCAAAACAGGTTTGCGTTGCTCGGTAATGTGTGCACTTTGTCAGGGCAAATCATGTTCGAATAGTTTGGAGGTGGCAAAATTAGACGAAGATGAGTACGAGGACAATTTTCCTCTCGATGAAGATCAACGAAAAGAGTATTCTGCACTTTATGAACCAGATCCGGAATATGATACAGATGTGGAAGACATTCAGGAAGATTATATTGAACAGCCAGTAACATCAAAAAACGAAGGAACTCTGATGAACCTTCCACCTCAAAAGAAACCTAGGTTGACGACATGTGGATTAGGCCTATTGAAAATGAGGAGACCGCTAAAAAAACGCGCCGGGTACTTTAGCTCAAGGTAGCTCCCTGAGAGATAAGGCGGTTAAACTTGATTTTCCACCAGTCGCGCAACAATAAAAATTTAGTCCGTTATTGCGGTCATAATGAAAATTGCGTTCTTCCATTATGACCGCGACAGCAGGCTACTGCCAACCAGTAGCAAACAAGTTTTTAGGCTTTATGTCTCGGGGGTACCAATCAAGCCTATATACAAGAAACCGACACAACTCTCCAACACCAACCCGGCTCCCTATGTACACATCCAGTAATAATGGCTCTCTGGTCAGAAGAAAGAGAATTATTCCTCTTGCAGGTTGAGCATTGGCTGCTGCTTTAACTACATTAATTGCTGGAGTAATTGCAAACAGCATAGTGGAGGCAAAGCAGGCATCTCAAATACATGACCTAGAAAACAATCAAGTAATGCTATTGAATAAAGCCACAGAAAACCGTAAGACAATAAATCTGATGCTAAACGACAATAAAGCATTATGGATGGTTGTAGGGAATCAAACTGAAAAATTGAATGAAATCATTGATGATTATAACTGTTTTAACGATACAGAGAATGCATACAAGGATATGCGAGAAGAATGGGCTCTTACTGCCCCGAATGCATTTATTCGAGTATTAAATGGTGCGTTGATCGGAAAATTGGCTGTAGATCTACTACCTGGAGATGCTTAGCAAAAACTAATAAGATACTATCCAGAATTCACGAACACCATCTTTGCTCAAAACCCAACTGTAAGTAGTTATCTTACCCCTATACTGCGACAGGTTCCATCGACTTCCTGAAATTTTCAGGCATTTCAGTGACTTTCAGGAGTTCTTGTAAATTACCTGCCTGAAGGAAGTGTATTTACCTGTTACAGTATAGGTATTAATTACATAAATGTAAAAGAAGTGAATGTCAATACCAGAGGCTATAGAAAAGGGCTTTATTTACTCCCCATGGCTAAAGGACCATAATTGGGGTAGTTTAGGGGTCGGTTTGGGGTAGTGTGTTTTATGTATAGAAACATATTGATCGGTATATGTTTGGTAACCACATTATTATTAATTGATTGTTAATTGAGTATTTAATTAGAGGTTAAAGGTGTCGATAAGTGTATTTACGTCTGTAAGGTTAAATGTTAAGATAACAGTGGTTAATTTTAGCAAGCTGTTTACGAAATAGTTGGTGTTGATGAAAATGTTTTACTTATTTAAACGTATTAAATGATATCAACCTAAATGATTGACTAACTTATCCTAATTTTAATATAAAGTATAGTAAAACAAGAAATGGTTGAACATACAGTAGAAACAAGAACAAGAAATAGTTGAACTAAAATATGTTTTATTGTTATTTTAAATTTTACATTTATATTTATATTATCGATTAGATATGTTTCGTCGTATAAATGCTTGTCGTATAAGTGTTTGTTGTAGATCCATTTTTTCTCTGACGACTGGTTTAACAGCTTCTGGTACCTTTGATTTTTCTGCAAGTCTTTTTAAATTATTACATGTCATTTCCTGAGGATCATTACACACTGCCAACTAATCTTTTACATTCATACTTAAGTAAAGTTCTTCTGTTTAAGTACTCTTCTGTAATCTTTGTTTTTGCTTCAATTTCGGTAATATTTGTCTTTACCATGATGTTTGTATACATTAATAATAATAAAAACAGACTGATGATCTTTTTACTTATATAGTAAGAAAATGGGGAGAGGGAAAGATAGAGATATGAAATTATATATTAAGGCATTTTTGTTTTCACATTAATTTTATTTCGCCGTAGAACCAAATCCTTTTTCACCACGTTCTGTGTTCGAAATGGATTTTTCTACCTGTAGTAGCGGGTAGAATATTCGTTCACAGATAATTTGTGCTATTCTGTCTCCAATTTGAACATGAAAATCTTTATATGAATGGTTGAATAAAACCACTTTAATCTCCCCTCTGTAATCTTCGTCAATAACTCCTGCTATAAAAAGAAAAAATATATGTAATTAAAATTACTTTTAATGATATAGATATAAATTTTTACCTCCCACATCAATAAAATGGCTTACAGGCAAACCAGACCTTGGTGCTATTCTACCATAGCAAATTTTAGGTAATTCCAATTTTATACCAGTTGGAATTGTTGCTTTCCCCTTCGCTGGTACAATAGTATTTAGCAGGCTTTTCAAATCATGCCCTGCTGCTTTTAAACTATCTTTGGTTGGTTCAAAGGCATGTGAAACAATTTTGTTATACTTTAAGATTGGAACTTGTTCTTGTTCCATTGTCTGAGTTACTTCAAAATTGAAAGGTAATTAAAAATAATAATGATAATAATAAGTGGATAAAACCATTGGTTATATCTCTATGGTAACGTATCTGTAAATATATAATTAACAATTCTTTTATCATCATGTGGTGTAAGGGCAATTTTTTTTGGTTTATTGTATATACTTCATGTTTTTTACTACGAATTAGTTGTTCATTAGTGTGAATTTCAGTTTTATTAAATAAACAGTTATAATAATCATCAAAAGTGATTGTTTTTAGAGAAGTATTAGTTATTCCTTTAGCTTTTTTAGTGACACCTAAATCTTGTAACTTATTTTTTTGTTCAGTTGTTAATTTTTCCTTTTCGGCATGCGAATAGAAGAGTTTTAAAGCATACATTTTTGATTTCAATCCAACAAATTCACTTAAGATTCTTTCAGAGCATTCGTCTTTCATTTTTCCTAATACCTTTTTATTTACCAGTGGAATATTATAAATGTTTTCTGATGGATAATCAGACGTATCAAATCTATCAATATCATTTTTAATGTGTTTATACATATCTTCAACTTGAAAAAATTAATGAATCGGTATCTGTATACAAGAGTTTTGCATTTGTATTAAAAGTTGGTTTAATATAATTGTAATGAAAATCATATAAAATAGTTTTAGAAATGTCTAAAATGCTAAAACCAATATGTATGGGTTTATTAAATTTTATATTAAGTCGTTTCATTTCAATAATAACCATATTTTCATCAAAAATAGTCAAACTGTCAAAATTTGGTTTAGATATATAATTTTTTGCTCCATGTATTCCTAACCAAGTAGTTACTAATTTAATGTCTTTATATTTTCGTACGTTTTCCACGGTGTTTCCGAAAACACCATTATTCATTAGCTTAAAGAAGTTCTTTTCAAAATCATTTTTACTTTGTTGACGTATTATTCATTAGCTTAAAGAAGTTCTTTTCAAAACCATTTTTACTTTGTTGACGTAAGTTGGTATTTAAATCAATATATCTGTTTAACCATGGAAATTGTTTAAATTTTAAAATTTTATGAATTTTTGTAACTCGTAATCCTAAACTTAAAGCCTGTTTTAAGTTTCTATAGTGAATAACATATTTTTTTTTATCAAATAGAGTTGTTAATAATTTGGTAGTTGTTAATAATTTTTGTTGTTTTGAGGATGATGTGGGTGGTCTTAGATGTTAATCTTTATGTAAATTATGAATTTCTTTTGGATATTCTGAATCTATTTCAAGAATATATCCTATATTTGAATTATCTGGTGTATTAATAATATTTTCCGAGTAACATGCAGAATTTTCAATCCATCTAAATTCACCTATAGGTAATGATTCGCCACATTGCAGTTCCATATAAATTATTAATATCAAAATACATTAAATATGATGTTGAGTTTGTAGGATCATATTCATTCTCTATGTACTTATTATTAGCTTTCCCATATCGATTATTACATTGTGAAATTCCACCCCTTATCCCCTTTTCAATCATCATTATTTGATCTATATCTGTTATTAATTCTAATTCAATTTGTGAAATATAAAAACAAGCTGAATAAGCCAATCCTGGAGCAGTGAAATACTTTAAACAATTTAAATTATATGTTTTATAACTTATTTGTCTGAAATTTTCAAAAACGTCAGCCAATAATAAAACATCAGTTTTTAGATACAATTCCATGTATTCACGCAAGTTTTTAATTTTAAACGTATTCCAAACATTGATAGCATGATTATAATGTTCTTGTGTTACCCCACGTTTTTTTAATTTATTATAGAAATTATCTCTTGAAGGTAATTGAAGGTTTTCCAATATTTCCCAACTGTTTAGGTAATCATATGGAAATATACCTTTTCTAGATAATAAATTAAATTCCTCATTAGTTTTACAGAAACTTCTTGTTATAGTTTTTTCTGTAGAATCTAGGTAAGAACTTAATTTATCTAAACTGGCATGAATCTAAACGAATCTAAAAACCTAAATTGAATGTTTGTATTTTCTATGTATTTTGTAAATGATATATACTTTTCCTTATTGATTGGTAAAAGTGTTATTAAACCACCAATTTCAGTGGACAATTTCTTTATGATAAAATAACTATCATAACCAGATAGATTGTGAAATAAAACAGGTATCATATGATCGTCTACATAGTTAAGGTTACATAAAGAATGAGCACTTCCTCTGCATTTACCGGTAAAGTGGCAATGATCTTTAACTTTTAAATCATTTTCAGTAAATGGTTTAGAACAAATGTGACAAGTTGTTAAGTTATGAAATAATGCTTGTTCTGAAATTGTTAACGGAATCATTGGAACTATTTTATTAAAAATTGGATGTAGTTATAAAGTAAAGCTATTTTTTTTTTAATTCCTGACAGAACCAACTAATACAATTTTTTCCAGTATAAATATTAAATTTGGAAATGGAATTATCAAAATTACATAACAGATAATACGCAATGTTACATGGTATATGTTTTTGATATTTCTGTATATTACCCACAGTTGAGTCATTAATATTTTCTAATAAACTTGCAATATCTGCATAAATTACAAAAGGAAATTTTTCTTTATTTTTAAACTGATCAAATTTAATATATTTTTCTTTTAAAGTTGGTAGAGTAATTTTAGTTTTATTAATATTTTTACATGACCACATATGTTTAGTTAAAACCTCTCGAGAATAAAAATGATTTAGACAACGATCACAATAAAATTTTGAAGTACTTACATCACCAGTTTGTTGATTTAATAATCTTGATAGATTTTTAATTAACGCAAAATGAAAAATTTGTTTAAAGGAGATAATATCATTACTAAAATGATTTTCATCATTATCACTATCACTATCATTATTATTAAATATTTTATTTGTAGAGAGCATTAATAAATTAACTTTCATCAAATAATTAAACGTACTTAAACATACTGGTAAAACTGTTTTCTTTTCTACAGTAAAAACGTTACTAGAAATATTATTCATTGCTTCAAATTTTTTTATATCCTTTAGTTTTACTGGAAAATTAATATTATCACATTTTAAAAACCTCACTAAAATGAAGATAAGAAGACGTTCTTCTTGGATTTTGATTAGAGCTACAAGGATACAATGCTGCTACTATAGACCAGAGAAAACAATAATTATCTTTATTTTCAATATTAAGAACCCCTTTAGTATTTTGAATAAATTTTGGTATCGATACATATGTTGAATTGCTTACATTTATTGGTGTATAGTTATTAAAATTAATTTTTAATTGTAATATTTGATTAAGAGCCCATCCAGAATCTCGTTCTTGAAACTCTTCCAGTTTTTTCAATAAATTATTTTTAATATGATCATCATAAAAAAATTTTTAAATTTATATTGTGATCTACTGCTCGATTTTTTGTAGAAAAATGTTTAATTTCAGTTTCCCCAGTTTGAGGTTTAATAAAATTTCCTAAAAAGATGACATTTATTTTTAATAATGATTTCTGAACTTCTTTTTTAACTTTGCACAAAAAAGATCTATAAGTTTTTTTAAAAAATATGACTGGGTCTTTAATACTAAAATTAATTATTGCTCCTGTTCTAATGCGATTTTTGAAGCAAGAATCAAGTTCAATCCAACATAATTCTTTTTTCTGTTTAATTTTTTTTATATTTAAATTGTTCTCTGAGATACTTAAGTAAACTCAAATTAGATTCTAATTTTGAAGAAATATTTTTTTCTGTTTTATTACTATTTTTTAAATATTTTTTTAAAATTAAAATAGTTTTGTTTAAGTATTTTATCCACTTATTCTATTCATTTATATTTTTAATTAACACATGTTGAGTTGGTTGGATGATTGTTTATTTGTTTGTCTGATGTGATTTCAATAGCAACTGAAGTCTATTTTCTTTTTAATTGAGTTTATATATTTTTTCATATTAGAATATTAAATATATCAAAGTACATAAATCAAAGTTCATTTCTAATAATAACTTAAATAGACATATTTAGGTACTTTACATTAATAAACAAATTTTATTAATATCAATTTTAATAATAATTAAAACAAACATGTTTATTTCAATATTTACTTCATGTTAATAAACAATCTTGAATCAAATATTAATAAACAATAATTTTGTTTATTAAAATTATTATCAGAAAATATAATAATAAAATTGATGTAAACATATTTACTTCATGCTCGTGAACAATTTTTATCTGTTTATTTTGTTTAGACAAACATATTTACTTCATGTTAATAATAATATTTTGAAACAAATATTAATATAAACATGTTAATAAATAATTTTTATCTGTTTATAATAATATGGTGAATCAAATATCGATAAACATGTTTACTACTTATGAATAAATAAATTTTGTTTACATCAATTTTATTATTAGATTTTATAGACGGTTTAACATTTATTTTCTGATAATAATTTTAATAAACATATTTACTTCATGTACATGAACAACTTGTATATGTTTATTTTATTTTGATAAACATATTCACTTCATGTTAATAAAAAAATTATATCTGTTTATAATAATATTTTGAATCAAATATTGATAAATAATAATTTTAAAAACAAACATGTTTATTACTTATGAATAAACAAATTTTGTTTTTCTGATAATTTGAACAAACATGTTTATTTCATATTAATAAACAAATTTTGTTTATGCAATACAATAATGTTTATTTCATATTAATAAACAAATTTTGTTTGTATCATTATATTTTATAGACTAGTTGATATCTATTTTAATTCAAAACAAAAATGTTTATTTCATATTAGCGAATAATGTTTATCCTTAGAAACATTGTAAAATTTTAATGAGTAGAATATTATTATTATCAAACAACTCGTGATACATTTTTTAATTATTTAGTAATATATATATACATTTAAATTTTACGTTAGGACATATTCAATCAAGAACGATTGAAATATTATAATGAATACCCCAAGCATTTTCATTTTCGAAACTTTGGAAAAGGGCCGTCTGCCCAATAAGTTGTTACTTGTTTTTTTTAAAAAACTTATTCAGGTAAGTTTATTATTACACATTGTTTAGTGATTGTTATTTATTTTTCTTTTATTGTTTTCTTAGATATGGGAGAAAAGATATTAAGAACGTTAATGGTAAAGTTCATTTATATCTAACGTATTCGCCGAGGAACAGTACGTTGGAAAAAAAATTGAAAGGGTTGCCAGTAAAATACATGCGAGTCGTGGCTGATAATGATGAGGAATTACAATTATTCCTCTATGGAATTAAAGAGTTCGGTGAACTAAATTTCTCAACAACAGAAGAAGAAGAGGAAAGAAGATTAACAGATGTGCTACCACCACCACAAGCACTACCCCAACAAGAAGAACAACCAAAACATAAAAAGATTAAAATATTAGAAAACAGGATACTCAAGCCAGCATCGTCAGCAACAGTGTCACCAACAGAGTTCATTACAATCTACGATGATGATGCTGACAACTACGAGAGCCAGAAATTTACGGTTTTATAACTTATTTTATTAATATATTCTGTATATTATTATTAATATAATTCAGAATAAAAGACTATATTAAAATTTTAAATGTTTTATTTAATACAATATTATTATTTACAATATACATACTAATATTTTTTACAATAAACATACCAATAGTACAAGAAATAAGCGTTTTCAACTGCACAATATAAATTATTGTCTAAATGTTGTCCACAATCGTAAGATTTAAATATACCCTTTAATTGATCAAATGCTAGACATCTCTCAGTTTCTAAGTCAATGATATCGTTAGTTAAAAATTTTTCTAACCATTTTTTTTCTCGATTCCTTTAACTGCAATAATTTCTTCATGTACATTTTCTTTAATAAAATTTGAAATATTTTCACAGGGTAGATAATTTTGTCCAGATGATCCATCGAATTCTAAACCATGTAAATATTTACTTGACCAGCACATACGATTCTGAACTTTTATATTATAGTGTTTCAATTCAACTGGATAAGTGATGAATTTATGACCAACTAAATAACCATTATCAACGTTAATAATTGCTATTTCCTTACATATAAAATTTCTTTGTCCATATTGGAAACCTTGTACATCAATTATGAACATTATAAAGATTTTTGCTTTTTAAAATAATGAGGACACTTCTAGTTACTCTGTCTGACGGCAACTGATAATTTTAATTGATTCGTATAATATTAAAGGAATTTTAGAGAGATAAAGAAATGAAAACATGTTTACAGTACTTTTACTGTACTTGTTAGTGGGTTGTATTTTACTAATTTATCATGTAAAATTAAACAATATGCAGTAGTCTTGGCAGGTATCGATTCACCTGTTTCAAATTCAATACGAATATCGACTGCACCACTCTTTAAAATATCCTCTCCTTGACGTGAACAATCTATAACCACCAGAGGAACATTGTTCTTGAACTGAATGGGATAGTAAGTCGGTTCACTAAACGGTTTATAGTAGTATGATTTTTGGAACTGAGTATACATTTCATATAGAACTGCATATCTATTAGTTAAATCTATATTCCCAATAATAATATAACGAGGCTTTTCCAACTGATTACTTGATTTAACAGCCCATGTATGGTTTTTAGTCTGTTGCAATTCTGGATATTCATGCAATTCCCAACTTCTAAAGGCAATTGGTAAATCTCTATTGTTTTCAGATGTTTTCAAAATTTTTTAACAATCGCAATTTTTGGCTATCATTAACTGAAGTAGGCATTGGGCCACCTTAGACCAAGGTCAGCCCCGATTTTCTCCCTAAATTTAGGGAAATTTTCCCGTCCATAGTGCCCCACCCTATGTAAACTTATAACATAGCGTATATGTAATTTCCCTAAATCTACTGAATTTTAGATTTGGCAACGTCGCATATCGCCGAGCGCCCGGCAACACCGCATCTGTCAAGCGCCAGCGCCATCTACCGCGTAATATCCCTAACCATATCGGACAGCGCCACCTACCGTGTAATAGACCAACGTCACCTAGCGGGTAGCGCAGCGCCATCTATCGAATCTATCTTAAGTTATATGACAAACGCCATCTATCATGTAATATACACAGCCTTTCACTCCAAGTAGGTAGCACGAACACTGATCTAGAACTTAATCCAGACGGTTCTTTAATTCACCATATACACCCTACAATAACTACATTCTAACAATACGAACATATAACCGCCTTAATGCAAATTTACATTTATGCCGTTTATACGCCCGCATCTTTCCAAATGTCTTCAAACACCAGACACATTTTCGAAAATGTGAATGTGCTCGCAGTTGTGTAGGGGTAAACACACGAAAACACCAATTACACACATAAACCCGCTCTTCCCGCGAAATAGTACATAATGCATCCATTACGCTATCAGAGACAGAAATAATTTTTGCAGACGTTGTGCAGTTTTAAAAAAAAGATGCGGTAATAGGAAATGATCGAACACACATACATCCTTATCAAAGTTTTTTATCACAAAAAAATAGACGGGGGTTTGTTATAAAAGAGAGAGGACATTTTCTAATAAACGTTTATTATTTTGTACTAGTAGTAGTAAAAATGCCATCACGTAAGTATTAATTTATAATATTTTATTTTTAAAAAGCTTAAATACCTAACACATAAAAGTTTATTTTTTAACGTTTTTCATATACTTTAAGGAGAGAGCTTAATTTTTAATATATTTTATTTTCTATGATTACTAATTTTAAGGGTCCTAACACATAAATATTTATTTTTAACGTTTAGTTTTTCATATACATATTTTAAGGAGAGAGCTTAATTTTAATATGTTTAATAATAATTTTTAATACATTTTATTAAGGGACCTAACACATAAATATTTATTTTTAACGTTTTTCATATACTTTAAGGAGAGAGCTTAATTTTTAATATATTTTATTAAGGGGCCTAACACATAAATATTTATTTTTAACGTTTAGTTTTTCATATGACCTAACACAAAGCTTAATTTTGAATATATTTTATTAAGGGACCTAACACATAAATATTTATTTTTAACGTTTAGTTTTTCAATTACTTTAAGGAGAGAGCTTAATTTTAATATATTTTATTAAGGGGCCTAACACATAAATATTTTTTAACGTTTTCATATACTTTAAGGAGAGAGCTTAATTTTAATGTATTTTATTAAGGGACCTATCACATAAATATTTATTTTTAACGTTTTCATATACTTTAAGGAGAGAGCTTAATTTTAATGTATTTTATTAAGGGACCTAACACATAAAAGTTTATTTTTTAACGTTTAGTTTTTCATATGACCTAACACAAAGCTTAATTTTAATGTATTTTATTAAGGGACCTAACACATAAATATTTATTTTTAACGTTTTCATATACTTTAAGGAGAGAGCTTAATTTTAATGTATTTTATTAAGGGACCTAACACATAAAAGTTTATTTTTTAACGTTTAGTTTTTCATATGACCTAACACAAAGCTTAATTTTAATGTATTTTATTAAGGGACCTAACATATAAAAGTTTATTTTTAACGTTTTCATATACTTTAAGGAGAGAGCTTAATTTTAAGGGTCTAAGTTTTATTTTTAATGATTTTACCTAACCATAAAAATATTTAGACCTCTAACACATAAAAGTTTTAACGTACAGTTTTAATTTTATTTTTTCTTTTCAGACTTTTCTTTCTGCCTCGACTTCGCGCGAGACATCACCTGGGATTATTACCCCGGCGAGGATGTAAGTCTTTTCGAGATATTGTTATTATAGATTTAAATATGGTCGTTTTTTACAGTTCGCTTACATTTTGTCGCCTCAACCGGCTCCAGGGCCCTGTCCCCCGCAGCCCCTGGAGCAACTCTGGGCCGACCAGGTGGGGGAGGTATTTATGACCATATGGGCGGACACCACAGATAAGGTGGTGTATGTGTATTACACCACCGCCCAAGAAGAAAATATAGACGTATAGTAAAAAAATAATTTGAATAAAGAGATATAAAAATATTGAGATGTTTTCTTTTACATAACCCACCTATAATTTTTATTTCAGAAAAAAAATACAAAGTTTTAAAAATACCGTTTATTTAAAAGCCTAGCAGTGAGAGTTACAATATTTATTTCTAAGAGGCAAACAATATAAAATATGAATATAAAACAAAAAATTTAAAAAAAAAATAATATTTATATATATATACGCCGAGAGAGAACAAAATTTTATCATGTTGCTAGGATAATAATACAAAATTAAAGCCAAGTACAAAAAATTTAAAAGTAGAGGGAGATGGCCGATTCTGCATCAGGAGCAGGAGCAGGACCAAGGAGCCGGAAGTGACGTCATCAGCTAAGAACATGTAAAATAGGCTAATAAACAAGAATAAACAGGTTTAAACAACAAACAACAGCTTTTGAACTGCTTTTAACGGCTTTTTAGCTTAAAACAACAGACCTGTTCATTTTTTGTTCAAACCCGTTTATTTCTGTTTTAAAGCGATTCAAAGCGGTTCAAACCTGTTTATTCTTGTTTATTAGCCTATTTTAACTGTTCCTAGCTGATGACGTCATTTCCGGCTTCTTGCTCCTGCTCCTGATGCAGAATCGGCCATCTCCCTCTACTAACGTCTACCTCCGGAACTACCGCGCGCCACCTATCGGGTAGGTCAATAATGAAGGTAACTGTAATTTAGGACGCATGACGTCATCCACCTGACGTCATACAGATATTTTAATTTATTTTTAATAAAAAAGTTCGGTGTAGGGTTTGAACCACGGACCTGCCGATCACCAATCTAACGCCTTAACCAACATGACCACAAACGTATTTAAAATTAATTGTAGGTATGTCTATATGAGGGCCCCAAACTAAAGCTGTCTCAAAGGTATAGATCACCTAATGAACGACGTTCGTACTTGTGTACGAATATACCGTCAAATACCATATACGAGCGCCATTCACCATATGCCATATACCTAGCCCTGCGCCCCCGGGGACCCCCATTAAAAATTTATTAGCACCATTGATTTATCAAAAATAAAAGCAGAATATTTACTTACCACAAAATAGCTATAGGGGCGTAGCACCAGCAGCAGCAGCAGCAGCACCAGCAGCACCACCAGCAGCCCCAGCAGCCCCAGCAGCGCAAGGTAAGTACCTAAACTATCTCTAGGATGTGGGAGCAGCGGCATACGTGTTGTCGCGACGACCACCGCTTAAAGACTGATACAAAAATAAATGTAGCCCTTATTTAAAAGTTTTTATAATAACATTGTTGTTGAAGGTTGAAACCATTACCAAAAGCAAACGTCAAAAAAAAATCAACGAGCCCTTATTTCTAAGTAAACACGTATCAGAGACCCTTTGTAATGCAAAAACGTTAATATATATCATTGATTTAATAATTTATCAAAATTAACTAATAAGTACTGTTAAAAGCATAGAGTAATTAAAGTTGTAGTGCGACCTGGTTACCCAACAATTGTTTGTTTAATATTTCATTAATTATTGCAACAACAAAAGCATAGCATACCATCTTTTGTAACTAGGTTAGCCAATTCGAATAAATGTATTCAAAGGGTGAACATGTGTTTGATTTTCCCGTATTGGAATGAGACGACATCACATGGCGATCCTGCCAGGACATGTACGTAACTCCCGACTACCATCCAGCATCCACATGATGTCAGAAATGGTCAGATATTAAACAACTCCAGTATGAAAATATTGGATAGAACGTTTATTGTCAGAATTAAACGAATAATAAACAGACAAGAAACCATCATTGTTGTAACGGACCACCAGATTAACATGTCGACCTTTAATACGATCATGAGCTACTACGCGGCGAGATTTTACAGTGAAGAAGGGCACCATGATATAAACAATGGGAGGCTACTAACATGCATGGCGGGGATAATAGCCAACTGTTCGGACTTCCGTGCCATTAGACCCTGGCAAAGCATGGCAAATGCATACAAGACCGCCGGAATAGAACTTATTATGCAGGAAATGACCAAAGATGAATTCATGATCTTCGTCACTAATGACGAACGAACACAGGAATTTATAGACCTCTTCGGAGACGATATAGGGTACGTTTTGCAAGACACAAAAACACCGTTCGTAATCTGTTTGACCATAGTCATGGGTATGGTGAAGACGCTGACCACCGCTAACTATTTTAAATGGACAGAGGGTAGGGTTCGAACATTCGCTGGGACTCTTGGGGATACGTATACGATGAACAACTATAAACAGAACATGTACCCAAAGTTATCTGCTTTTAATGGACTTAACGCCATAGCATCGGCGAATCACGTAGTAAGAAAAGAGTTATATTTTGCTATAGTGGCCATAGGCGTACAAAAGAAAAATTTTATTACGATGGCTTTCGCCGAGGTCCACCACTTGATGCGTGGACATGAAATGCAACATCTCATTTTGATAGATAAATACATATTTGAAGAGCACCCAGAGTTGCTGGACACCGTACTGCTCAGAGGCCTGAAGCCTAGGTTCGGACAAGCTCTACAGTTACTAAAAGAACAAAATGTAGAGGACAGACTATATATCAAAATCTCAAAGATTCAAAATGGCTCAAAAAAATGTGTCATACGTTCCAGGAACCATTTCTATGGCGAATGAGATCAGAAAATATCCCTTAACACCAACATCCAACATTGGACCTCGAGACATAATAAACAAACAATTGTTGGGTAACCAGGTCGCACTACAAAGTTAATGATGCAAATTTCCTATAAAAACAAAGATTAAATTTGTCATCTGTCATAGACTTCGGCAAACATCGGTTGTTATCGTAAGCGCGCTAAAACCAGTGGGGTGTGGTACTGATCTTTGTCGCGCAAGCTCCAAAACAAACAAACAGAAAAAAAATATAAATATGTACATAATGCAAAACATAACGTACCCAAGGCCTTTGTTAACGCTAAAACAAAGTTTAGAGGCTACTAAAAAACAGACAAATTTAACAACTTATATCGAACTTGGAAGAAATGTAGGCACAGAAAAATTTAAAAAATGTGTACATAATATAATGCAAAACATAACGATTGAGGGAATGAAAATTAATTTAAGAGTATTAAAGCAAAAAGATATAGGTTAGAAATCCATACTCACCAGGTTTAACACATACACTTACATACTTCTTCTTCAATATAGCATTCAAACACTTTTCACAACTGCTGGAAATAGACTAAACACAACACCCGAAAGTATATGTGGTTTATGATAAATAAATACGATGCTGACGTCATACCATTTCTTGGAACTATATGTATGAACATAATATGTAACTATACGTATTTATCCTACATATATGTATTTATCCACCCCTTATAATATTAGGGATGAATGCCAAAAAGGGCTAGGGGTGAAAGATCGCTATCAGCCGGGGTGGCAAAGCCACTTTTTCCGCTATGTGCGCATATTTTCCTTTTATGGTTTAGCTGAAAAACACGTTTTGGTCGGTTCGCGCAGGGGCCTTAATTAAAAGTGTGCAAACAAAACATATATATATATATATATATATATATATATATATATATATATATATATATATATATATATATATATATATATATATATATATATATATATATATATATATATATATATATATATATATATATTCTTATATTCTTGGAACCGGTATGCTACAAGGAGCTCGAATTTCGATAAATAAAACTGAGGAGCCTTAATTATTATACTATTACATGAGGATATTTAACTGAATTAAAAGGGTACTATGTAAAAACTGCAACAGAGTGTCGAACAAATCCAAAAATAAATAATCTTTCGTACTTAAATTTATCGGAATTGGTTGTATTATTATTATTATTATTAACACACGTCATTAGGGTCACACCCTAACATAAAAACCTCTTTTGAGATTGAAAAATACACTACTATTGAGGGTTTAGTAAAGATTTACTAAAAAAAATATAACGATTGAGGTAGGGAAGGAATGACATTTTTCCAAAGCAAAAAGATACTAAAAAATATATATTTTTCAACCTATCATCTAATCACACAAACCTTAAAAATAAGTACTCACCGATGTCTATATAAATCCATCTAAAACACACACACATTTTGAAGCCTTACAAAAAAAAAGTTCACCGGCACCGCGTAAACAAACTGAAAAGATCGAACGCCCACGGTTAACGTTACTAAAGAATCGATCAAGGTCTAAAAAAGATATTATAAACAATAAAATTAATATACAGGGTGTGGCTAATTTAGTTGGTTGCTTTTATAAGAATAAACATGAGAGAGAGAGTACTTTCAAATTTTTATGGTGTAACCTTATAAAAACAACCTTAAACCACAGCACCAACGATAAGGTATTAGCCACATTGCTGGGGACACATTCACACAACCTTTCACTCCAAGTAGGTAGCACGAACACTGATCTAGAACTTAGTCCATACGGTTCTTTAATTCACCATATACACCCTACAATAACTACATTCTAACAATACGAACATATAAACGTTTTAATGCAAATTTACATTTATGCCGTTTATACGACCGCATCTTTCTAAATGTTTTCAAACACCAGACACATTTTCTAAAATGCGAATCTGTTTGCAGTTCTGTAGGGGTAAACACATGAAAACACCAATTACACACAAAAACCCGCTCTTCGAGCGAAATAGTACATAATGTATCCATTACGCTATCAGAGACAGAAATAATTTTTGCAGACGATGTGCAGTTTTAAAAAAAAAGACGTGGTAATAGGAAATGATCGAACACATATGCATCCTTATCAAAGTTTTTTATCACAAAAATAGACGTGGGATTTGTTATAAAAGAGAGGATATTTTCTAAAAACGTTTATTATTTTGGACTAGTAAAAATGTCATCAAGTAAGTATTAATTTATAATATTTTTTTTAAAAGCTTAAAGACCTAACACATAAATATTTATTTTTTAACACTTAGTTTTTCATATTCTTTAAGGACCTCTATAACAAAACTTAATTTTTAATATGTTTAATAATTTTTAAGGGACCCAAACTTAATTTTTAATATATTTTATTAAGGGGTCTAACACATAAATATTTATTTTTTAACACCTAGTTTTTCAAATACTTTAAGGACCTCTAACACAAACTTAATTTTTTGATATATTTTTATTTTCTATGATTAAGGGTCCTAACACATAAAAGTTTATTTTTTAACGTTTAGTTTTTCATATACTTTAAGGGCCTCTAACACAAAGCTTAATTTTTAATATGTTTAATAATAATTTTAAGGGACCCAAACTTAATTTTAATGTATTTTATCAAGGACCCTAACACATAAAAGTTTATTTTTTTAACGCTTAGTTTTTCATATGACCTAACACAAAACTTAATTTTTAATATGTTTAATAATTTTTAAGGGGTCTAAACTTAATTTTTTAATATATTTAATAATTTTAATGATTTTCCCTAACCATAAAAATATTTAGAACTCTAACACATAAAAGTTTTTAACGTATAGTTTTAATTTTATTTTTCCTTTTCAGACTTTTCTTTATGTCTCGGGTTCGCCCAAGCCGTTGTCGGGGATATCTACCCCGGTGAGGATGTAAGTCTTTTTGAGATATTGTTATTATAGATTTAAATATGTTTATTTATTTCTTTACAGTTTGCATTCATTTTGTCACCACAACCTGCCCCAGGGGCCGCGCCTCCACCGCCGCTGGAACGACTGTGGGAGGACCAGGTGGGGCCGGTCTACATCACCATATGGGTGGACGCCACGGATAAGGTGGTGTTTGTCTATTATACGACATAACAAACACCACCAACAACTAAACGATATACTGATGAGCTAGCAGGGAAAGTCCGCGAAGAGATAAAATTTCAAGCTCGCTATTTGGAATGTGTGTTTGGTGTTTGAAAACGTTCGGTAAGAGGAGTAAAACGCCATAAATGTGTTTGTGAAAGGTGTAGACGTTGGACTGTATGGTTAATAATAGAAGAATAGGATTTTTGTATGTGAGTGGCGTTACCACGTTTTTACCCTTGCAGAGCAACGAACACATTCACATGTCCGAAAGTGTGTTTGGTGTTTGAAAACGTTCGGTAAGAGGAGTAAAACGCCATAAATGTGTTTGTGCAAGGTGTAGACGTTGGACTTTATGGTTAATAATAGAAGAATAGGATTTTTGTATGTGAGTGGTGTTACCACGTTTTTACCCTTGCAGAGCAACGAACACATTCACATGTCCGAAAGTGTGTTTGGTGTTTGAAAACGTTCGGTAAGAGGAGTAAAACGCCATAAATGTGTTTGTGCAAGGTGTAGACGTTGGACTTTATGGTTAATAATAGAAGAATAGGATTTTTGTATGTGAGTGGCGTTACCACGTTTTTACCCTTGCAGAGCAACGAACACATTCACATGTCCGAAAGTGTGTTTGGTGTTTGAAAACGTTCGGTAAGAGGAGTAAAACGCCATAAATGTGTTTGTGAAAGGTGTAGACGTTGGATTGTATGGTTAATAATAGAAGAATAGGATTTTTGTATGTGAGTAGTGTTACCACGTTTTTACCCTTGCAGAGCAACGAACACATTCACATGTCCGAAAGTGTGTTTGGTGTTTGAAAACGTTCGGTAAGAGGAGTAAAACGCCATAAATGTGTTTGTGCAAGGTGTAGACGTTGGACTTTATGGTTAATAATAGAAGAATAGGATTTTTGTATGTGAGTGGTGTTACCACGTTTTTACCCTTGCAGAGCAACGAACACATTCACATGTCCGAAAGTGTGTTTGGTGTTTGAAAACGTTCGGTAAGAGGACTAAAACGCCATAAATGTGTTTGTGAAAGGTGTAGACGTTGGACTGTATGGTTAATAATAGAGGAATAGAAAAATGGAGTCAAATATTAGATGTATATATTGGGATAGGATAATCACTTCTAGTAAAGCTTCGAGATGGAAGCAAGCATAAGAATAGTCATAGTTCAACCATATAGTATAAACGAGGAGGCGTTGTGCAAGGGATTGCAACACAGAACGGCAAAATAAACATGGTGGGTCTGTACCAAAATTACTCAAAGTCCTCCAACAGCAATATTACAGACCTCACCGGACCTACATTCCATGAAATGTCAAAATTAAACATTTAACAAACTAATTTGAGCAGGTTTTTCCATTCCTGACATAATCAAAAACAATAGTGTATGATTTCCACTACAATTATATTAAAAATAAATCTGGGGAATGTGCAAAATTGTTATATACACGAGATTCACACTATCGATAAAAAGCAACTTAAATCCATTAGATGATAAAAGGATTGCAAATTACCTTTAGACTGATACTAAACCAGACTTTTAGACTTATTACTAAAACCTGAAACATTTATTTGTAAATTTCAGAATTCTTTCCAATATGTTAATTGCGGAGACACAAGATATTGTAACACATGTAAACATTATGTTTGTTTTTCCTCTAGATCGATAGGTAAACATAATTTCGTTGACGACTTATATTCACCATTTATAAAAAATGATTTATACTGTAGAGAAGGTATGCCTGAAAATTAAATTTTCCAGGAAAATTATCAAGTTCCGATTTGAAAAGACTTACTGAGAAATCTGATATACCAGAATAATAAAAGGGAATAATAATAAAGGAACACATTGACGATTATCAAGCTATACATGAACATCTCTACATCACGAATGTACATGCATTGATATTACATTTAACATTAATTTAACTAATATAAAAAATATGTTCTCAATTTTTATAGGTGAAGCTAGTTGTTCAGTTTCAATGAAACCAATTATTGTTAACGAATTCTATGCCCTCTGTTCTTATGATACAAATCATAGGGTGTTAAGAACTATAATTTCGAACCATATGGTGGGCATGCAAAAAGAGGATGGAGGGCTATCAGAACAAAGTTGTTGAAGTATGGAAAAACACTTGAACCAGCATTTCAATATGACCCCCCGTCTGCTCTCTAGAAATGAGAGGAAAAAATGGCGGAGGTATAATGATAGCAAGTATAAGGAGCGAAAAAGTGTAGACGTTGGACTGTATGGTTATTAATAGAGGAATAGAAAAATGGAATCAAATAAAGTTACTTTTAGTATTGAATAGTGTAAATAGAAAATATATGTATCGTTTATATACTCCGGATGTTGGAAAGTAAAACAACATATTGACTTTATTCCAGTGTCCCGGTTAGGCAGGCGGTGCCTCATCGCGAAAATCAAAGCCACTCTATTGTGAAAGGTGTAGACGTTGGACTGTATGGTTAATAATAGAAGAATAGGATTTTTGTATGTGAGTGGTGTTACCACGTTTTTACCCTTACAGAGCAACGAACACATTCACATGTTCGAAAATGTGTTTGGTGTTTAAAAACGTTCGGTAAGATGAGTATGTATAAACGCCATAAATGCAAATTTTAATATAAGCGTTTGTATGTTCGCATAGTTAGAACGTAGCCATTGCGGGGATAATTATGGTTGTATGCGTGAATGTATGG